CGTTCCTAAGCAAATCGCACGGAAGTCTCAGGCGGGAGCGGGGGTCCTCACTAAATTGCGAGGAGGTCTCAGGCGGGAGCGCCGTTCCTGAGTCAATTGCGTGGAAATGTCAGGCAGGAGCGGGGGTCCTGAGTAAAATTCGAAGAAGTCTCAAGCGAGAGCGCCGTTCCTGAGCAAATCGCACGGAAGTCTCAGGCGGGAGCGGGGGTCTTGATTACATTGCGAGGAAGTCTCAGACGGGAGCGCCTTTCCTGAGTAAATTGCGCGGAAGTCTCAGGCGGGAGCGGGGGTCCTGAGAAAAAATCGAGGAAGTCTCAGGCGGGAGCCGTTGTTGTTGTAGCCTGGGGGGCAAGGGCACAGTTTGAGCAGGAAGACTTTCCTTGAGAAAAAACAAGGTGCGAACCCCGGGGGTGGCACTTCAATCGAAAAAATCAATGTGCACCGGTGGGGGGGATCAACAATAATTATTCTTCAAGAGTGAGAGTTCAACGCCAACGACAACGACAACGACGACGACGACGACGACGACAACGACAACGACAACGACAACGACAACGACAACGACGACGACGACGACCACAACAACCACAGCAACAACAGCAACAACAACAACAACGGCAACAGCAACGGCAACAGCAACAACAACAACAAAAGTTACAATACCAACAACAACAACAACAATTACTAGCACGTGGGGACACACCGTTCTCACCAGTGCCAGGGTTTCATAGGAGGCGGGCAATACCCCCACTTTGTGGGGGGGCCGGTTCAAGCTCTACCAAATTTCCAAACGACTCTTCGCCACCACCCACACCCAGCTTCCCGCCCTATGACGTTCGGACACTTCACTTCGTGGCATGCGGACGACCGTGGCTACTATTCAGGGCCCCGCGGCCGACGACGACGGCGTGCGCGCGCGAAGAAAAAACGAATGTGTCCCGCATGGTATTATTTGCCAGGAATGATGGCCCTGGCAGGTGCGCAACCGTTGTTGCAGAAGTTCGAAAAAGTTGCTCGCAAAAGCCCGTTTGACAGAAATGTTTAAAAAGTGTTGGGTTTCCTACGAATCCGCAAGAGCGCGCGGGATGAGATTTTGACAATTTTTGTTGAAAAACCATTGGTTTTTTGATGTGTTTTATGTTAAAATCGCTGCGAACACTAAGGTTTTGGAAGGATTTCGTCTTGCGCGCGCGAATGTCCACTTTACCTTATTTTTTGCAAGGGATTCTTGAAGTTTGGTAATATTTAGAACAAGAAATGTCCACTTTAGCTTTTTTTGCAAGGGAAAACGGATCGTAACAAAACAACCGGATCCGGACCAACCCGTTTTGCCTGAGACTTCCTCACGAAAATGATGAAAATGAGGCTGCGGCCTAGGCGCGGCGGGGGGGCGCGCACCAGGGGTCCCAACAATAATTATTCTTTAGAAGTAAATAATGTTCAACAACAACAACAACAACAACAACAACAACAACAACAACAACAACAACAACAACAACAACAACAACAACAACAACAACAACAACAACAACAACAAACATCTTAAGACTGATCGCTCTTATATGCGCGCGCGTCACTCAATATGTAAATCCCAAACCCTCGATACCCACCCTCTTCGTCTTCGGTCATACCCCTTTGGGGGTATATCTTTTTTACTCGCCACGTGTAGTTGGCGCAGCCCCTAAAACAGGAAGAGCAGGGGGAAGGAGGAAGGGAGAGCGAGGAGGAAAAGAGTGGGGGGAGGGAGGGAGGAGGGAAGGGGCAAGGGGGGGAGGATGGATGGAGGACGAAAGAGGTTAGCAGGAGGGGAGGGGGGCAAAAGAGGAGGTAAACAAACGGACGAACCAGACAGACGGGTCGAGCGGCGGACTCTGAGGGGCGGGTCGGGCTGGCGGGGCGGGCGGACGCCAACGGACGGGTCGGGCGGCGGACCCTCGCTGGCGGGTCGGGCGGGCGGTGGCTTAAAGCGGGCGGGCGAGATGCCAAGAGAGCGAACGGGCGGGCTGTAACAGGCGGATCGGGCGGGCGAAACCTGGCGGGCGGGTGACTAAAGGGTGAATCCTGAATGAATCACGAGGCACACCCTCGCTACCCGCCCTCTTAGTATTCGAACGTACCCCCTTTAGGGGGATTATTTCTCTTTGGAAGGGCGGGCGGAGGGACGAGGGAGGAGGGAAGGGAGCAGGGAGGGACGAGGGAAGATGCTAGGAGGGACGGGACGCGGAGGGGGGAGGACGATATAGAGGGAGAGAGAGAGAGAGAGAGAGGGAGAGAAAGAGAAAGGGGGGAGGAAGGGAGGGAGGAGGGAGTTTGGAGGAGGGACGAGGAAGTCCCAGGCGGGGGCGGGGGTCGGGAATAATTTGCGAGGAAGTCTCAGGCGGGAGCGCCTCCGCCTGAGTAAACTGCGAGGAAGTCCCAGGCGGGGGCGGGGGTCCTGAGTAAATTTGGAGGAAGTATCAGGCGGGAGCCGTTGTTGTGTTGTCCGGGGGGCCAACAACGCAGTTTGATGCCCACGACTTTCCCTGATAAAAAACAGGGTGCAAGCCCCGGAAGGGGCACTTCAATTGAAAAAATACATGTCCGCCAGAGGGGGGGATCAACAATAATTATTCTTCAGTTATTAGAGTTCAACAACAACAACAACAACAGCAGCAACAACAACGACAACGAGAACGACAACGACATCAACATCCACAGCAGCAACAACAACAATAGCAACAATAACAATAACAACAAAAGCAACAACAACAAACAACCTAATCGTCACCATCATCATAATCTTCATACTAATCCTCCTCCACCTCCTGCTCTCCCTCATCGTCATCATCAGCATCATCAGCAGCAGCATGTTCATCCCCTTGTTATCCTCCTTCTCCTCGTCATCATGCTCAGCATCAGCATCAGCATCAGCATCATCAGCATCAGCGTCATCATCCTCAGCATCAGCATCAGCATCATCATTATCAGCATCAGCATCATCATCATCACCATCGACAGGCGGTGCCCACCGTCGAAGACGATGTGGTGCCGCCGGCGTGCACGCTCCATCATTCAGGTAGGTCGTCTCCCCCGCGGGTGCAGCAGTTCGGCGTCGGCGGCTCGAGCGCTGCTGGCGCTCTGGCGGACGTTGCTCGCGGTGGCGCAGATGAGACGACTCGACCTCGCCCCCCTGCTCTTGCTGCTTGGCCTGCCTCTGCCCTCGCATCTTTTTGCAGCGGAGGAGGGGGGTGGCGGCGCTGAGACTCGTCGCCAGGAGGAGTGCGCAGGCGGCCCCGGGCGCCAGAGGCCAGCGAGTCAAGCACAGACACGGGAAGAGGAGGAGGAGGAGGAGGAGGAGGAGGAGGAGGGGAGGAGGAGGAGGAGGAGGAAAAAGGAGGAGAGGAGGAAGGAGGAGGAAAAGGAGGAGGAGGAGGAGAAGGAGAGGAGGGGAGGGCAAGGGGGGGGAGGGGAGCGGAGAGGGCGAGGGAGGCAAGCTGGGTGCGCTCGCGCCGTGCCTGCCGTCCTCTGAGCCCATCCTGCCCGTCCCTTCCCGTTGCGCTGGGTGCACTGCTCTCGATCCGCCGGCGCGTGTCGCAGCCGGCCTCGGAGGCTCCAAACAAAAAGTGTCCCCATCATGGTTTGCGCAAGCGCAACTTGGGAGCTGCGCACATCAGAAGAGGAGGAGGAAGAGGAGGAGGAGGAGGAGAAGAAGAAGGAAAAGGAGGTGGCGGGTGAGCGGGATGCGCTCGCATCAGCGCGGGCGTTCGGCCGCGCTGGCACCCGAGCGCGCCCCCCGCGCTCGGGTGCGAGTCGGATGACCCGCTCGTGGGCGGGCGAGCAGGAGGACGAGCAGAGGAGGAGGAGGAGGAGGAGGGTGAGGAAGAGATGGGGAGTGCACGAGGGAGAAGAGAGGGGGGAGAGTGCGGGAGGGAGAGGAGAGAAGAGGGGCCGAGGGGAGCCAAGCGATGCGCAGCCAAGCAGTACTAAGCCAAGGAGCTCGGAGCAGAGCAGTATCAAGCACGGCTGGGCACCTTGGAAGGCAAACGAAACAACGCTTCATCATGAAACTGGTCTGCTCCAGTTGTGTAATGTGTCTTAGCGTGCTCCAAGATTCGACGTGCCTGCAGTCTGGTATTGGCACTGGTCGTCTCACATCTCCGGTCAAGAGAGATCTCCTCGGTGGGATCGCGCCAGGCTCATCGGCCTCCGAGAGGCGTCTGAGGCCTCAGGATGTCGCCGAGATGGCCGAAGAGAGGACTAATAGCTGCCTCAATTCCCTTCAAGGCTCCTGAGAGCACCCCAAGAGTCCCGACAGGGCTCCAGAATGCGATTTGCCTGCTTCCAAGAAGGGGCATCTCTTCAGGGATCCCTCTGTTTCGAGGGACTCCAGCATGGCCTCAAGGAAACCCATACTTCCAACAGAGTCCCAAGAGGGGCCTAACAAATCTTCAACAGGACCTCAAGTGGGCAGTTCTTGGAAACAGAGGAGAGATCAAAACACCCCTCGCTTAGATAGGCTAGACACGGTCCCAGAACGGCTTCCGACGGCGTCAGACGAACCAGAAACGCCCTCAGACGGCCAAAGAGCCTCCCAAGCAGCTTCCACAGGTCCCGAAGAGGCCCAAGGAAGTCCCTAAGAGGCCTGCAGGAGGCCCCCAGGAAGCTCCCAGGAGGCTCTAAGAGTGCCTCAAGAGGCTCCCAAAAGGCCTCCTCCTCCTCCTCCTCCTCCTCCTCCTCCTCGTCCTCGTCCTCGTCCTCCTCCTCCTCCTCCTCCTCGTCCCTTTTCCTTCCTCTTCTCCTCTTCGTCGTTCTCCCCCACGCATTCCCCGAAGCGGTTCCACAACGGCTGGGAGCGCACACAGTCCTATGTAGCCTGGCCGAGCTCTGGCCGCGACGCTGGGCCACGTGGGCGCTTCCAACAGGCAGAAGGGCGGCGGTGATTCGCCGTGGGCGGCTTCGATAAGATGCGCAGGTAGACATCGACGAGGATCGATGGTCCGCCGCGCGCGACGCGTCAGGGCCTCGTACCCCTGCGGCCGCGGGTTGTAGCGCCCGCGCCCCTCCACGGCGCGGCCGGCCTGCGTCGCTGCGCGGGCGCAGTGAGCGGGGATGGACGGACGAGCGAGCGCTGACGGCACACGCACAACCTGTTGCGCTTGCCCGGAGCCGCCCTGGAAGTGGGGGAAGGGGAGGGAGGAGGACGCGGAGGAGGAGGATGAGGAAGAAGGCTCGGGAGACCAAGCATACAGGAGCAGGAGAGGGTGGAGGAAGAGGAGGACTGGGAGAGGAGGAGGAGGAGGAGGAGGAGGAGGAGGAGGAGGAGGAGGAGGAGGAGGAGGAGGAGGAGGGGGAGGGGGAGGGGGAGGAAGGCAGCCTCCAGAACCGCCAAGCTTTACCCCAATGATGGCCCGAGGGCCCGGAGGATCTTCACACTTGGTCAAGCACGGTCTGGAAATCTTCTGGCGGCATGTACTACGCATGATGCCCGTGGCACACCGCGATCACACGTGAAATGCGCCCATACACAAGCACAGCATGCGCGCGCTTCCCTCTCGTCCTTCTCGCTCAAAATTGACTTCTCACCCTCCCCCCTCTCCATCCCTGATGAAGAGAGGGACAGAGCGAGAGACGGGGAAAGCGAGGGAGAGAAAGAGAAAGAGAGAGAGAGAGAGACAACAACAAAAAAGCGAGAGAAGAGCGAGAGAGAGAGAGAGAGCGAAATAAAGAGAGACAGCGAGAGCGAAAGAAAGAGAGAGAGAGAGAGAGAACACCAAAAGATAAAGGCACAACCATATGCAGCTGCGAGCACAGCGAATCAAAGCAAGCGATACGAAGGGCAGGGACGAATCGTGTAAGGGGTGCGTCAAACTGGCGAGGTGGCGGCGCGTGGACTTTGCCTTTGCCGCTGGGCCCTTCTGTGGAGCTCCCCACGGGGCCACGAAGCGCGCGAAGTGTGCGTCGGCATGGGGCGGGGCCGCCATGCGGACTTTGCATCTGGAACCTTCGGTGGAGCTCGCCATAAGGCCACGAAGCGCGGGAGGGGTGCGTCGGCATGGAGCGGGGCCGCCATGCGGACTTTGCCGCTGGGGCTTTCAATTAAGCTTCCCCTAAAACCACGAAATGCGCGAGGGATGCCCCGAAATGGGGCGATGCAGTCATGCGGACTTTGCCACTTGGGCGTTCGCTGGAGCTCCCGATGCGCGAAACGTGCGAGGGTGCGTCCAAATTGAGCGGGGCACGCATGCGGACTTTGCCCATGGAGCCTTCGCTGGAGCCCCAATATTGGGCCACGAAACGTGTGCGCCAAATTGGGGCGGTGCCGCCATGCGGACACTGCCACTGAAGCCTTCGGTGGGGCTCCTTGTGGGGCCACGAAACGTGTTAAGGTGTGCCTGAATCACCGCCGCCACGCGGACATTGCCACTGAGGCCTTCGGCGGAGCTCCCACAGGGGCCGCGAAGCGGGCGAGGGGTGTGCGGAAATGAGTGCGGTGCCGCCATGCGGACGCTGCCACTGCACCGAACGAAATTCCCCGTGGGGCCACGAAGCGTGTGAGCGGTGTGCCGAAATAGGCGCGGCGCCGCCATGCGGACCCTGCCGCTGCGGCCTTCGGTGGAGCACTCTGTCGGGCCGCCACGAACCGTGCGAGGAGCAGACATTAGAAAATGGAGGAGGGGGCAGCCGCAGGCGGGAGTGAGACCCGGAGCGCTGCC